CTTCAGGTCTTCAGGCGGAAGATTTTCAAAACGTCGTCCTCTACACTTGTAGGTTTCTACAACAGGCAGTTGTAGTCCATTTGAAACTTAGATTCATTATGAATACTCTGCCTAAACAACCTATCAAAGTAATTTTGTTTCTATTTTCAAATCAATTAGCAAAATTTAAACAATACTCCTTAACACTAAAGATAAAAAAGATATCTTGGAGAAAAAAAAGTATATATATATATGAAATTAGGCATGAATTTAATAGAAAATATATTGTCTAAAATAAACGTAACTTAAAAAACCGTCATAATCAACATAAATATTATGTAAATTCCTCCACTTGTTGAAGGCTCTTTCGAAACGGTGATTCAACACAATGGTGTGAAACAGTAATTATAAATGAACCTAACGCTCAAAGTAGATTCAATATTGGAGGATCAATATAAATTTGATATTTTAAATTGATTAACTCTTTGCTGAATAGAGAGGAAGGTTAGCTGGTGTCAGCGCATAGCTTTGAAACGAAATATTGGTTTCTTATGTATGAGATTCATTCCACCCTTAAAGTTTATAAAGTTAAACCTCTTTCAGATAAAACTATCCGTTTGTCTTCTGTGTTTTATTCCCACGTAAAGCTACAGAAACGTGTAGAGTTTTTTAATGTTGCCCGTCGGCCAAATATAGTTTTTATTTACATCACATTGATCTTGCTTTAAAGTTTAAAATGTGAGTTATTATTAGCTTTAATATTTTAATTTTTTTCTTTTATGAAAATATCTCGAATAATATTTCATTTGTCCGCTGAGAGTGCTGTAAGCCTCTCAAAATCCTTCGTGAATTTTAGTTATGATCGCCAGATGGCTGTAGAGCAAGTGTTTTGTTTGTTGTTGAGCACAAAGCTGCACAATGGGCTGTCTATGCTCTGTCTGTATCGAAACTCGATTTTTAGCAGTATAAACTCTCAGATTTACTCCTATGCCACCAGGGGACACAACAAATGATAATAAAACATAGTTATATTCAAGGAGATGATGATATGGGGTCTCTTTAACTGCAACTTAAAAATTAATTTGAAGAAGGGGGCGGAATTTGTAATATTTCTGAAAAAAGTGCGAACGAGACGTAGTCATATCTAAGTTATGGCGGGGACGCCATTTAAAAACGAATTTTTATGGTTAAAGGGAATTATCTTTTCACAAATCATTTAACGTAGCAAATAAATTGTAATTAGTGATTTAGTAGTTTCTTTTACATATAAGAGCCTTTAATAGAAAAATTATTAGTTATATAAGACGATTTACCATATTTGTATTTGTGCATACTGTTGCGTCAGCGAGGTCACGTGACTAGTATCACGCCACCTGTTTTCTAGAAATATCCTGCTCCTTCATGAATGCCCTAGCATTTACTAGATATGTGTTAGTCTGGTATATATAAGACGTTCACAACGTGACGGGACGAACAGTGTAGTGAGTAATTGAACTGCAGTCAGAAAGTGTGTATTGACTCGAGCACGTGAGACGTTCGTTGAGTAATTATAGCGCGACTGTTGAAATTAAGTGTAT